TGGCGTTTTTCTTTTTGCAATTCTAGTGCTGCGCTCTGCCCACGAAAGGTAGCCTTAAATTCGTCCCGTCCCTTTTAATTCATGAAACATAATGCTGTTCGCCTTGAGATGCTCACAACTTGCATTGGTTGACATAGACGTCAGGAGTTTCTAGATCAACAAAAGACACGTCATCAGCCTGCAGCTAGTCACTTCGCCGTAACTTTCGTTCTCGTCCTTTAAGACTAGGCGTGGCCCTCCTTCCGTACGCAAGATGGAGGTTCTTCTTCAAGCACTCTCCGCAAGAATACAGTTATTCATGAGTGCAAACACGTCAGCCGTTTACGTCAGAACGCATGCCGTTGATCCGGGCCTGGTACTACTCAAATGTTTCATCTCTCTTTGTTTACAGATCAGTTTCTTCTTCATTTTTGACTATTTTCTTCTCAGATTCGTTTCCCGCTTAAAGTAAAGCCATTTCGTCATCATCAAAATTGTTACATGTTTGACACCACTGATGGAAAGTTACTGGCACCGTCAACTTGGCTGATATATTCTCGCAGTTCTATCTAGTTCGTTCTTCAGCCTGTTCAAAGTTCTGTAGAATCTTCCGCCGAAGCGATTTTTCTTTGTCATTCGGCTGAACAACTTTTATTCCATCAGCCATTTCGATCATCGGTCTCATAGATTTATCTGGGATGTTTTAATTATTATACTGAGTCGGCTGATCCTCTTGCAGGTGGTATCATTATCAAGTGATTTCCTGACGTCATCCAGCTTCAATTCTGTTAGTAGCATGCTTTGCTGAATCAGCCGCAAGTGACCTGTTAGATGTTGGTCTCTTGCATCAGTGAAGGTAGACGTTACTCCATTCTCTTTCGATAACCCCTGTTCTGCGTATCATAGCGACGTGATAGCACCTTATTAAAACTTTGCTTTCTTCCTTAAACTACTGCCTGCGCACTTTGCGCGATTTGCCACGTCCCCAAGAGAAGAATGTCGTGAAACATGCACTGTTCGCTAACTTCTCAGAGATTGTCTCAGTTCCCCAAGAATCTGCGCGAATCCTGATAATTCGGATGCTGACCATTCTGGCATAGGAACACTTTCATAAATGGACCTCTAACCTAAAACCTGTGTAGCATGGATGACCGTATTAGAATCTATAGCTTCTGCTCCTAGTGCTTTTAGGGTAACTGAAGCACGCAAGTCCAGCCGCCACGCCAAGGTGATGATCGAGACAGGGCAGAACTTTTTCTTATTTAATAGCTGGTTCGCAAATAGTCGCTAAACGAGATCAAAAACAATAAATGCTACATTAAAACAATTTACCATGCCGATAAAGTTTATCCAAGGCACCAACTCGTCGCGATTCTCAACGGTGAATGTCAAGTGCCGAAGGCGACTGCCTCGTGAATCTACGTAATATAACGAGAATGCATCGTCCGAAAAACAACTCCGGAGACCGGCCAGAGGTTCCAGACTGATCATCACTATTTGGTCACATGCAACGATGTTGAAAGGCGACTGTGACTAAGAAAAAAACTGTTAAAAACGGAGCAAAAAACCGATACATCGCCTACAGTTTGTTTATGGTAGAACTTCAGCATCTTAGAGTTAAGAACGCACCACATGGACGATGCTAAAAAAATACGAAATTAACACGATATGGACATCAAAACCACGGAAACAAATGTTCGCTATAAATGGCAATGAAGCTGCGACCTACTAAATAGCCCTGCGTGCGTGTCTTTAGCAGCAGCAAGGTAATACGATAATGCCTGTGATCTGGGAAAAATGACTGTGTAATTATTTTCTCCATCACAAGTGAAAACAAATTTTGTTGATGAACCATTAAGACTCTGCAATTGGTGCTATGGACAGATTTCGAGCTCGACCTAATGAAATGACGCGGTTTTTTATTTACGCATCGCAGGTGCTCAAACAGTCAGTTTAAATGTTCTCGTCTAGATCCCTGAAAACAAGGAACGATCGAAC